TATTCTTTTTAAAAGAACAACCTACTACACAGCCTCAAAACATATTTTTACTGCCACGACAATACCCAAAGATACGTGTAATCACATGGAATTAAGGTGATTTAAAAGAACAAAACATTTAATAAGATGCAGACTTCCTGACAGTTAGGACTTACCCATTCCCCTTTAACCTCCACCAGGAAAGCAAAGGTTTGAAAGCAAGGCAAAATATATATTTAATGAAATGCTTTATTCTTACAGCATATCTAAACTCTACTCATCTAAACAAGCTGCTGGTTAACTAGCCAATTCGAGGAAATGGATTCAATACATAGAAACAGGACTAAGATTACAGGGGCAGACCCGAATAGGTTCCAGAAAAAGAGCAATACTTTCTCATTGAAATATAGATCACCTGAAACATTTCTTTATTGTAACATTTCATAATATTTCCTCATTTTAAGAAGAGAGCATTACTTTTCTGCACCTTGTGTTACAACAAAATCCAGTTTCAAAAAACATTAGGCTTTTTTTTATAGTGTCAAAAAAATTTTGTAATGAGGTCCTCACTGATGTCACCTTGTATTTTCAGAAATTTTGGATTCCCGCTACTGCATGGTTATTTACATATTTTACAATTAAGCTGCTTTAAAAGACACACTATTTCAAATATGAGGCAGTGTGAGTAAAGAAGCTTCAGGCCATTACAAACCAGGATGCAGGAAATGGGAGACTGTGAAGTCAGAAGAAAGCGGACTAACACCGCGCGGCCAACTCAAGTCACTGTTTATGTGTACAGAGCGGTACGTCCAAACTTAAGAGAAACCAACAGTTGTTTCTGTGAAGAGTGAGTGAGGCTGGCACCCAGCACGCTCCAGGCATTGAGTAACTGTGTGCTGAATGAAGGCATGGAGTATATTTGAAGAGGTTTTTGTTACTGTCAAGGTGATTTTGACTGTTAAAAATTTGGGACCTTTGGTCTTGACCCTTCCAGCCCATGGTAATTACACAGAAAGCAGCTCTCAGAAAAAAAGGGGAGAGGGACTGATTTCTCTGAGTGCCAAACACATTGTTCGTTCTATGTATTTTGGCCCATATATTCTACACAAAGAGATACGATGGCTACATGCAAGACGAATGCATGAGTAATAGTATAATGACCCATCCAACACTTTATACTTCAAAGACATATAGTCCTTGTGTGAGAAGAGGTTGATCTTGATTCTTAACTTTCATAGTTCTTTAAAAATTCTAAACCATTCCCATCTGTAAAAAAAACACTAAGAGTAACACAAAGTTTCACCACTACTAAGATTCTTATTCTTAAATGAATAACTAGATCAAGTAACTATTGTTTTCTATTAGAAAATAATTTAGGTCAACCACATTGCTTTATATTCTTTTTTAAACTGGTTCCTACAGCTTTAGTCACAATCCTAAGATTATTATTATAGTTAAAGGCAATAAACTACAACAAAGCAAAATCCTGAACTTTTTAATCTTTTAATTTACAGAGTAGGAAATCAGATTACTTGTATTTAATTCATTATTTTTTATACAATTCACCAAAATCCACACAATTAAGGGAAAAAAGATGCTTTGACTCAAAGATAAAAAGTTATTGGCAACTATGAGAAAGATGATAGAATATTTTGCAGTTAAAACTGTCTTAAAGACCCATAACATATATTATATATATTATATATTCAGAGTATATAAGTAGCAATCTAAACTTCAAAATTACCAGACATTTATAGATTCAAAAATACGGTAAGAACACATTGTCTTTATTGATTCTGTTTTAAATTGATGTGAGGATATGTTTTTTAAATATTCTGATAGAAAATGAAGAAGATTAAGTTTATATTATACTTCAGAAACCTCGATGCTGGATTATTGGGTTTTACACTCACTGATAATTTCACAATTGTCAAATAAGAGCAAAAAAGAGGAGAGATGCCAATCATCCACAGAAATGACACTCTCACTGGAGTCTTTCTTACCATGACTATGTCTCCCGGCTGGATAGTGATTTCGTCATGACTTCTGGACTCAAAGGGGTAGAGCGCTCGGTAATACACCACTTTCACATTGTCCTGTGCGGAAATGGTTAGTGGACCCTTTTCTGTTTACAAGAAGGGTGGGATGGGGAGAGGGAACAAAAATAAGTCATTACAGGGAACACAAATGTATGACAACAACTGACATCTCCTCTATTGCCTACCTTAACATCAGAACTATTTCCATCCATCCAGGGATTTCTGAAACACACACTGAATGCCAAAGGAGAGCCAAATCTGACGTCAACAACTCAAACCCATCAGAGAGTTCATCAGCAGACTCTCTCTAAACAAAGGTCATTCCAAGTCTGAGTGCAGCCAGGCTGCCTAAAGGTCCCTTGTCTCTGCCTCTTGGCGTGGGTTCTAGCATACACATCTGCAAAGCATCAACACCCCCTCCTCCCCACTCAGACTGTTGAGCATAATGTAGCAGTGAGGATATGACCCCAAATCTGAATCAGCCAAGGAGAAAACTTATTTGGAAGGGGACAGAGCAGCACAACTTTCCATACTAAAATACATGGAAATGCTGATGTTTTAGGCACTTAACATGGTCATATAAAACATAAGTGCTGATCTCACCAAAAGCAGTTATTACTGAAAATCCCTGGTGAAGTCAGTCTTCCTTACGTTTTTTAGGGAAAAACATGAACCTAAGTATGGATCCTAGATGGAAATTATTTAGATTTTAAATAAAATAAAGATTTTAAAGATGTTTGCAAGCACAGGATATTTTGGATTCTGGTTAACAATAACTAATAATAGCCTTCTCTAAGCTTTTTTACCCAAGAGCTACAAGTATTTTGACACATATCTATTTATCTGAAAAGCAGTGAGGGAGACATATTATCTCCATGTAATCTTGAATTGTATGATATATAATACAAAATTTACCACTGACCAAAGTGGAAAAAATAAACCCTCATTTTATACTAGGAGGAAGCACAAGGAACTTAAATTAATTGCCTAACATGAAGTAATAATGAGATTATTTTCAGATTGAAAAAAAACCAAAACCTGGCTGGGTGCAGTGGCTCACCGCCTTTAATCCTAGCACTCTGGGAAGCAGAGGCAGGAGAATCGCTTGAGGTCAGGAGTCTAAGACCAGCCTCAGCAAGAGCGAGACCCCCATCTCTACTAAAAATAGAAAAATTAGCAAGGCTTGGTGGTGACCTGTGCCTGTAGTCCCAGCTACTTGAGAGGCTGAGGCAGGAGAATCGCTTGAGCCCAGGAGTTTGAGGTTGCTGTGAGAAAGGCTGACGCCACGGCACTCTAGCCAAGGTGACAGAGCGAGACTCCATCATAAATAAATAAATAAATAAGGAAAAAAACCTATCAAAAAATAAACTTGTCCCTCCTATGACATGGTCGCTGCTGTGCAGGCCTGGTGACTTGTCGGTCTTTGCCCCGGACTGCATGCAGCTGTAGGCAGAATGGTGGCTGGCCCAGCTCTGACCCCACTCCCATGCCTGCCCACTGCGCAGGCGGGAAAAGAGTAAACCTTTACGGAATAGCTTGAAAGCGTTTTTCTTTCGGTATCTCACAGCACTAAAAATAGCACGCTGGTGATAACATTTTTAAAAATTGATATAATTTACCACACAAAGAAAAAGTGATCACTTTTTTTTCAGCTACTATTTGCAAAGATGTACAAGTATTATGCAACCACACAAGAACTTTAAAAATACACACTAGCTTGCATCCGGTATAAGGGGGATAGCTTTCTCAAGCTATTGCAATTAGATTGGTGTCTCACGTATCTTTTTTTTTTTTTTAAGAGGCAAATTATGTTCAAAGGGCACAATGCCATCACGCTTTTCAAAAGGTAAAAAACAACGGTTTTCTGCAGGGCGGACTGGAGACAGTGAATGCCACACGTTGCAAGCAAGGGGGAAGCGTGCTGCCTCCTGCTGCGGAAATAGCTCAGAAATTCCTGGGAAAATAAACCAGAGAAGCAGCAGGTTCTTTTTGCAGGATAGGCTAAGAGCTCCATGCAGAATATGGGTATACGAATGGGGTTTCCTCATGGAACTTCATGCCACTTTTGTCAGCCCTGTAGAGGACTCCTGGATGCCACAGTAGTAGGGGCCGGAGGGTGGCACGGTGGTGGAAGAATTAAACAGATCTTGAATAATCCTGGGGCGTGAAGAGCTGCCCTGCCCCAAACCAGAGACTGACCTTCTCATCCGTTAATGCAGCCAAGCTAGGGCCTGATTAGATGTGGGCATTTCTTAAGAGGATCTGGGAGAGAAGATGACTTATTGTCTAGAATTATTTCTGGCTTCTGATACCTGCGGTGGACCAGGGTGCTTGGACAGCTGGCTTAGCTGGTTCCTGGTGTTGATGGAAAAGCCGACCCAGCTTGTCTTGCACTTCCTGTTTGCCTTTTTCCTCACCGTCCTTCTTTTTGACGCTCTCTTCCCTTTTCTGTCTTTCCTCATCGTGGAGTTTTCTCGGCCTCTGATGTTCCTCGTCCTGCTGCACGTGCTCCAGCCACTGCCTGTCCCTCTCCTGAGCGCGTCTGCCAACAAACAGGCTTGATTACAGCAAGGAAGCAACTCTAATTCAGCACCAGTGTCGTTTCTTTTCACAAAAAAGCTCCAGCTAAGTCAATGGGATGATAAACATCAAGGGAATATTGTTCTTCAGATGGAGCAACTGAAGCAACGAAACAAAAGCCTTTGGGGCTCCAACTCTGAGCAAGAGGAAACCACAAGATTTAGGAGAACACAGAAAGAAAATTTCTGATGTATTTTATAAAGTGGTTGCAAGAATAAGAAAAATACTTTTTAATGTCAAAACTGGTATCAAACTGCAAAAAGCAAACAAAAAAGCCATAAAGCATACACGAACATAACTTCTGTGAAAATAAAGTATGCCCAAGACTGCAAACAAAATACTGTTTAAATAAGTCCGTGATCAGTCAGATCATTGACATTCCTCCCTAGATAAGGATGCAGCACATTTACATGAACACACGTTACTCCCCAACTCAAACTCGAAGTTGCAAGCAAGAGATTATTTTACGGCCTTCAACTATTGTGTTTTTGTTTTGCAAAGTAGCTAACCCAGATAGATAAGTGCAATTCCATCTAGGCCTTGAAAAATATGATGGCCTCAACCTGATACCCATAGGAAAAGACTGGGAATGATTTTTCTCTCATTCCATAATACTTTATAAAATCAGAAAATACTTCAAGTCAAACTAATGTGCAGTAACAAATGATAATTATAATAACTAGGTCTCCATATTATTAACTCCTTTAATCTTCACACCAGGTAGATAGGCCCTATTATTATCCCCATTTTACAGATGAGGAAGCTGAGGCAGAGACAGTAAATGACTGGCCCAAGTCACTCACACAGCCATATGTGCCTGTGTTTTAAACCCAGGCAGCCTGGTCCCAGGGCCTCCACCCTGAACTGCTATCCTGTGACATGGCCAATGCACAGAGGTCACTGGATGGAATTCAGAAACTGCCACAGGAACATAATGCAGACAAATTATACTTTTATTCTCCATTGTCAAAAAAATCATATTTATTTCTACTCTGTATGAGTGAAAAATTTTAATGCAAAATTTTTTAAGACTTAAACATTTTACTTACAATTTTTAAAATGTCTTTTAAGAAAACATAAAAACTCACCATTTTCGGAAGGGTAGGGATGTTCGTTGTTATTCATAACAAAAAAACCATTATAAAAATTACTTTACATTTTCTGCCAATAAAGGTCACCATTTGTAGTGTATAACCATCTAATTTCTGAAGTTAAATTTGAGGTCCTATTTACCTATGTAATTGGAATATGTATTATATATCATATGTGTATTATGCTATTTTCTGTATTATGATACTTTATGTTTATTTCTGTTTTGTAGGAACATAAAGGTCAGTGCGATATAGCATGAATGATAAAAGCAGTTTATAAACTCTGAAGGTAAGAAAAGGATAGAGTTGTATTTAGTCAACACATCCAAGGAAGTAATCCTTAGTCCCACCCCTAAGAAAACCATAAAATAGTCCTCTAAATTGGCTTGAGACCCCAGCCACCTCCCCACTGACACTGAAAACAAAAATATAAATAAAGAAACAACCAGACAGACTCAGAAGACTGCATATACCCTTAACAAAGCATGCACAGCTCTGGGCAGTTTAACTGAACTCCGCCCACTACAGTCAATGCCTTGCCTGAAGGATCTGTTTCTTCATCCTTTTAGTCTAATTTCAATTAGCAACTTTTAAAATTTATAGCATATCATTGGGACATTTTGTCACTTTTGTTTTTTGCAGTCTAAAATTAACAGAAAATTTGAAAGTAAATACCCAATAACAAATCAAACACACCGTAAATTAACAAATTTCTACAGTTGACTACAGAAAGTTACATGTAAAAATAAAAAACACAAACACAAACACTGAAACAAAAACAGACTATAATGTGTTGCTTTCCTAAGCAGCAGTGGCAAATTTTCCCCTTTTGTACTCAAGTTTAATTTGTGTTGAAGAAAAGAAGAAAGAAGATGGAGGGGCACACTCTGGTCCTGCTGGAGGAGCCCGTGTGGGAAGCTAGGCCAGCGGCCTGGATTTCAAACCAGGCTCTGTGACCACCACTGTTGTTAAAAGGCTGTGAACTGGAAACGTATTTTGGTTATTAGCATGCAAATGAGCATGCCAAGTGTCCCAATTTCCTTGTATAATTCCATTTATCTACATAGTAGGAGCTTGGGAGAGCTCTGGGAACTAATCAAAAACTTCAGGGGGTACTTACATATGCAAAGATTTATACACACGTGTGTTTGTGCTTGCGCACACGTGCACACACACAACACACTTTCAAAGACGGGAAGCTCTTTCTGGTGCAGTAACTACTTGGAGAGGCAAGGCAAAGAATAGTAAATCCTCAAAGCTCCTTCCAGATGGGTCCACAATCTGCTGAAAAGACTCACCTTTGGGCTTCTTCTTTTTGTTTTTCTAATTCTATGATCTTTCGCTCTTGCTCTTTCTGTTTCAGTCGTTCAGCCTCTATGGACTTTTGCTTCTGGAGTTGCTGCTTATTATGGATTTCTCTTAGTTCCTATAAATAATTGAGAAACGGTTCATGTAATGACACAAGGTGACAGGCATATCAACTGTTTATCAGCATGCAACATTTCATAGCGGGGAAGCTTGGGACACTTAGGAGACATTTCAGAGTTGGAAAATGTCCACTTGGAAAACTAAAATCACTCTCCATTTTGACATGACTGATTTCCAAGGGCTGCTTAAGATGGCATTCTAGAGAACCGGAACACAAGATACCATTTTCCATGGATTGCTCTAGAAGAAATTTGCTAGTAAAGGGCAGGAGAGGAGCAATACTGCTAAAGGCTCTGCAATAATAATGGAATGTAACCAGTTTTAAGATATGGCGATGACCATGAGTAAAACCTCAAGGTTCCGATAATCAATCAACACCAGCCTCTACTGGCTCTGAAAAGACACACACCTCGTCACACACTCCCTCCATCAAACCTCACTTTCTCATCATGATACACTGCCTGAGGACAAATGGACATCTCTTTGCTCCATGACCTCGATTCTTCCCCCCAGGGTGTATTTTTCTTCGAATCATACCTCTCTTCCAGAGCATCTCCACTTACTGAATCCATCCATGAATTTGCCAACTGCCCCAAACTAAACCAGCAATCAGGTTGAAAGTAAAAAGCTATAATTTGATGATGACTACCTTGGATCCAATTTTCTCACTTGATACTAGCTGCAGGAATATCCATAAGTTCCTTAGCAGGCTACTGAAAATAAAATGTATTCTATGACATTTAAAGAACTTCCAATACCCAAAAGGATGAAAAACAAGGAAACGCCTGTTGAGGAGGAAACTCTCTGATTCCATAAGAATCGAGTGGTCACTAACAGATTGAGTCACCGAAACTCCTCTCACTTGGGTCAATAATAAATAGTTGAGTCAAAGTGCCCGGTACAGCCAAGAGTGTATTTCCAGTTGACTTCTTGGTCTAATTAGGGCTGGTCCTCCCAGTGGGCAGCCCAGGGGTCTCTGTTGGGAGATTTAAGGACTAAAGCCTGCTCTGCCTTCCATTACCTTGTTCACTCGCAAATCACCAGATACGCAAGTTTCTTCCAGGCTCTAAATTCCCATCTTTAGATTCATTCAGAGACTGAACAACAAAGGTAGAGGGATTGCCTGTAGGTCAGTGTTGAAATGCACTTGTTATTAGAAAAAAGCCCTAAGGGTTAGGCTAACCTTTTCCTACTAATTAGACATGCTCAGGTTAAAGTCAGATTGCACATACAAGTGTTTTGTAAACTGTAAGCGATCCCTGAGAGGCTCTAAAAGGGAACAATGAGATACAAGGAAAAATTTAACTGGAGATTACGGGGTTGGGGGAGGAAGGTATTTTGGGGGGTACATTGGAGGGAAGGGGAAGGAGGGTAGGGAGGGAAGAGCATCAGTAGGGAACACAGCAGATGATGCTGGGAATATCCAAGCAGAACATAGCAGGAAGAGGTGACTTTGTAAGGCACAAATTAGTGGACTATTCCCTGGGCATGTGGCTTCTAAATCAGGAAGGGCACTGGGGCAGCAGCTTAGCCAGGGTGGGAGCGGAGGGGGCAGAAAACGCCGAGGATGGAGACTGGAAAGTAACGATAAAGCCTCACTCTGACGGTTTAAAGTTCTAACAGAGGAGAAAATCAACACCAGGGAAAAGGAATTCCATCTTTCATTATCTTTCTCACTGCCATACCATGGGATGTAAAACTTAATTTTAATGTGTTAAAAAAAAATCAGTAGTATTGGTTTTCATGGTAATTTGGAATCAAGAATAAATAGCAATCACTAATAACATGAATGAAAAATCTGGCTAATATTTCAGATTTGATATTTCAGAGACAAATGGAATAACGGGCCAGTTCCTGTAAGAGTATAATCTCCACTCTGGGCTCACATATGTATCTCAACATGAAAAGGAGAACTGCAGTGGAAAGATACTAAATCAAACTCTCTAACTGTCCTAAGAGATGGACCAGAGCCTCAAAAGTCAGCACCACAGACAGGGACAGCCTAGGCATTAGCCAAGTGGAAGAGACCCTTTAAAAAGGCAGGGTAGAAAGAGACTGATTCATATTTTTTCCTATTTTCAAATTTCATTTTCAATACCATCAAATTCTTAAACAGGTTTAGAAAGAATAATAATTTATGGCAAAAGACTGTAATTAAAAGATACAGAACTGAAGCTAGCAATGTGTTAGGAGGCACTGTAAACTGGAAGGCAATACGAGGTAAATTTGAAGAATCTACCTAAAAAATGCCACTGAGATAGATTCAAAAACAGTTCTTAAATGTATCAAATACATTAAGAAGATACTTAAAAATTAAAACACATTTATTTTTGAGTGTAGCAGCTTTACAGGATGGGTTGAACCAATCTTCATTAACTGTCTAAACAAGCTGCAGCTTCAAATGCCTCCAAGGATGCAGCTTGCAGGAACCGTAAAATAACAGATGTCAAATAAGGTAACAGAAGGCTGTGGCATCTTATGATCCAGATTTCAATCCTGCAAAGTTTTTCTATCATTGCCTTTATCCAAGTCAAACACTGCTGAGATACACAATCAATTGCAAGGAAATCAAGATGCTGCAGGAAGGCATCCTGGTCTTTTTCTGTTTCCTTGGACTTGAGCTTAAGATGGCATGAACAAAATTAAGCAGAACATGGATGATTTCCAAATTGATAAAGTTTTAAAAAGTTGAACTTCCGAGAAGGCAACGTACAGAAAGAAGGAATACCTGCTAAGAGCTAGTGAATGACTTGCTTTCCTTTGCCACAACACAGCCCTTGAGAAGCACAAGTCCCTTACACAGGGGAGGAGATGGCTGCGCTAGTCTCTCATTCTTTTTCAATACTGTTAAAAACACTCATGTACAATTGCAGTTATTTAAAAGTACCCTTTTAATTCTTGTAGGGAAGAAAATCTCAAGGTGACAAACAAATCCAATGTCATTAAATTCTTTATTTACCTAGGAAATGAGTGAAATATTGGGAGAAATGACTAAGAAAAACTTCGCCCCACTAAATGTATCAGCTTTTCCTGGTGGGCAACCTGACTGAAGTGACCCTGCAAATTCTGTTAAATACACATGTACTTTATCACAGTTATTTGTCTACTACAACAAAGATAAAAAGAGAACAAATAAGAACTACTAAGAATCAAAAGTCAGTATATAACTTGTGGCTCTTTCTAAAATTATTTTTTTCCAAAATCAGCAACTCTACGATCATGTATTTCTTGGCTGGATATTTACCTAGCAATAAGGTATTGAGTGTATAACTTTGTTGACTTTTCCTCTATGAGTTCTATTCAAGTGTCCAATGTTTTACAGTAGACACAGTGTGCAATAATTCAATGTTATCTTGAAATAAAGCATACTTTCATAATAAATAAGAAATTATTAAATAAGCATTCAAGAAGTTTTAGCTACATGTTACATATATGGGAAAAATAAAACTATAAAATGTGTAGTGTATATCAATTAAACCGATAACATATACAGAATTCTAAAGATACAGAGCAAAGTTTCTTAATCGGGGTCCATGTATGAGCTTCGGCCCTGTGAACACTATGAAATTGCATGAAAACTTAGGGTATTTATTTGGGCATTTCTCTGGCGGAGAAAGCTCACAGCTTTTATTGGATTCTCAAAGGGGTCTTTGATCAAATGCAGATCATAAACCACAATAAAAAATTATTGGCAAAGATTTTGTTTTTTATTAGTTAAGATAAATGAAAATCAGCTTGCTTTTAATTTTCTTCCCTAGACCAAAGAGCAAAAAGTCACTTATTTCCTCTAAAGAATTAAGATATTTGAACCATAAAACATCTTTGGACATCCTATGGCATACAGCCAAAGTATTTCAAAAGCAATAAGCTTGACAAATTGAATACCCAAAAGCTCCAACTATTTTTCCATTGAAAACATGGCTCATTTTAAGTTTACTGGAGATGGTTGTTCTACTGCTATGCTAAGGGTCACAGAATCACTTGATTTAATAACTGTGATAGTCTTTCCTTCATCTGGTCTGAGAGACACTCAAAATAGATGTATTATGTGAAGTTATATTACTCAAACTATAAAGAAGTATTCGTCTAAACACTATGTATAGGATTCTTTTTCATAAACATTTTGCATAAATGTGTATGAAGAGAAAAAAATTAACTAGCAACAGGAGCATATGAAAAGACACTAGCAATTAATGAAAACTTATTTGCTAATTAGGACATCTAACTTTACTGAGGAATTATTTTGCTTTTGGTTTATTCCTCAGGCTACCTCTTGGCAATGAGAGATAAAAACAAACATATCTTCATTAATTCTTCAAATTCATGAACTCAACACCAAAAATCAAAATAAAACTGTTTAGGACATATATATTTACAATTTTTGTACAGGCAATATTAAATTGACCTCATAAATTGATCTAGGTACAAGCATCAGAAATTTCAGGTGTTTGTTTTATCTATAACATCTATAAAAAGTCTGAAGTGCTTTTTATATAAATAAACATCATTTCTCATCTAGGGATAATATGTAGCACACAAAATTTATAAAAGGCCCTTTTAATTTTACTTGAGACAGAGTCTCATTCTGTTGCCCATCATCACAGCTCACTGCAGCAAGCTCCTGGGCTTCAGCGATTCTCCTGCCTCAGCCTCCCAAGTAGCTGGGACTACAGGTGTGTGCCACCATGCCCAGTTTTTTTATTTTTTTTGTACAGACAGGGTGTGTCTTGCTCCTGCTCAGGCTGGTCTTGAACTCCTGGCCTCAAGTGATCCTTCTGCATCCGCATCTGAAAGTGCTAGGATTACAGGCATCTTTTGAGTTTTAAAATACATTAACCTTTTCTGAATTAAATGGTTGTGAAATCAAAAGCTATTAATCAGTCAACAAACCCAATGAGGACAGAATTTGTCCCTATGTGGAAAAATTCAAAAAGTAACTATTTCAGAAATTGTAGAAATTGAATACAATTGTACTAGATCAATGTAAACTGATATTCT